AATAAATGAAACTTTAACTAATCCTCAATAATATTCCTCAATTTTCAATAAGGAATTGCAATGAAATTTTAAAATGTTATGAGTGCTCTAGCAAAGGTTTGAACACAGGAAAGTGAAACAGGAGAGAAAATTCTTCAGTGTTCAAAGCCAAATAAATTTTACCAACAATAACAAAACCCACTTTTACTCTGTTTTCCCCGTTTCTGTGCCTGTCATCAACATGCCCCTCTTGCCTAAGCAAAAAGGCTGTTTCTTTAACCCCCGCTTAACTGCTTCTACCACTACCAAGTCTCATCTAACCACACCTTGTTTTTTATTTACATTTTTTTCACCCTAGACAAAGCTTCTATTGTTTCTTCTCGAATTATTTAAAAATTTAGAAACACTGCTTCCTGGGTAATCTTGATCAGACTTAACGTTTTTGGGGAAACCTAGTCTACTGGTAACTCAATATCTGCATGCCAACATAATTATTACTCACTAGTCTTTAGTTAAACATGATTCTCTTGTGCTTTCATGGGGTATTCTGTTCATTTGCTTGTCATGCAGGTACATCCGCTACATTATAAACTCATGGGTAAACATTATGTCTTCATTGTTTTATTTTCCTACAGTTCCTAGCTTAGTGCCTGGCAAGTAGCAAGGGTTCAGCAAATGGTGATCAAAATGTAAGGAAAAGCCTGCAAACTAATCTGCCTTCCTTTAAGCTGCTCTCTCTTCATTTGTCTAACACACATATCACTTTTAAATTAAACTTCTTTTTGTTTTTTTAGATTTCTTGAGACAGAGTTTTGCTCTGTCACCCAGGCTGGAGGGCAGTGGTGTGATCATGTCTCACTGCAACCTTCACCTCCTGGGCTCAAGTGATCCTCCCACGTCAGTCTCTCAAGGAGCTGGAACTGCAAGTGTGCACCATCATGTCTGGCTAAGTTTTTCTACTTTTTTATTATTTTTTGTAGAGATGGGGTCTCACTATGTTTTCCAGGATGGTCTTGAACTCCTGGCCTCAAGCAATCCACCTGCCTCAGTCTCCCAAAGTGCTAGAATTTGAGGCATGAGCCAATGTGGTTGGCCTAGATTAAACTTCTTAAAGGATAGCATGGTTCATCTGATTCCCCTGCAATTGTTCCTCTCCATATAATGATGAGACAAAAATGCCTAATTATAAGAATCCAAACCACAGAACACATTTCCACCTACTCTGCTATATCTAATCTCTCTTTCCAGTTTCCTGAATATCCCATCTCTATGGTTTGCCAGCCCAGTACCTTTGCTCCAAGTTGACTCTCTATTTAAATGTTTGCCTGCCAGTGTTCCTCTCCACCTTAAAAAGCACAACTCAAGTGGTCTTTTGTTTGTGAAAGTATTCCTCAATTCCCAAGCTGGAAGTGTTATCATTACAAACTGCCCTATTATTTTACTTCTTTCTGGGCACTTAATACGGCCTACTTAAACATAAGAAACCAAAATGTATTTCTCATCTGGCCATATTTTATTGAAAGTTAGAGGTGACAAGGACCTATTTATGTGCCTTGCCTTTTCTAAAGTTTACCATCCTCACTGCCATTGCTAATCACAGTGCTTGATAAATATAATAAGTTTTCAATAAATATTAATTAGATAAATGTATACTTGGTATTATTTCTAAATGGTGCATTTTTAAACAACCTGGAAGGTTATACATATATAATATTCACTTCTTCTTTATTATTTTTTTTGAGATAGAGTCTCACTCTTGGTGCCCAGGCTGGAGTGCAGTGGTGTAACCTTGGCTCACTACAATGTCAGCTCACTGCAACCTCTGCTTCATGGGTTCAAGGGAATCTCCTGCCTCAGCCTCTCAAGTAGCTGGGATTACAGGCACTTGCCACCACACCCAGATAATTTTTGTATTTTTAGTAGAGGTGGGTTTCACCATATTGGCCAGGCTGGTCTTGAACTCCTGCCCTCAGGTAATCCACTGACTTGGCCTCCCAAAGTGCAGGATTACAGGCATAAGCCACCACACCCAGCCTTATAACATTCACTTTTCCTCTAGGCTTAGTTATGTAAGGGAATATATTTGCTGAAGAGATGTGAGTAAGAAATTGCTACTGTTTGCAACCAAAATTAAAAATTTTAACTTAATTTTCTTTTTGTTCCAACTTAAACTGCCTAATGAAAACTTTAACTTGTTACCACCTTCTACAGGTAAACTCGGCAATAACAATAAAGAGCCTTTAAAAGATCACAGTCATTGAGCCAGTGATACCAATTTTAGTAATGCTACTAATGCAAACCAAATGATGTACATATCAATTTATCTATAAGAATATTGACTGAATAATAAATACAAAATAAAAATATTTTAAAACATAGTATATATTTAGATATAACAGAAAATACAAAACACTAATTCATATTCTCAAAGGATAGAAGAAAACGAATTTGTTAAAAATAATAAAGAAAATCAACAAAGTATATATACAATTGGTATGATTTGGCTGTGTCCCCACCCAAATCTCATCTTGAATTGTAATTCCCACAATTCCCACATGTCATGGGAGAAATCTTGTGGAAGGTGATTGAATCATGGAGGTGAGTATTTCCTATGCTGTTCTCGTGATAGTGAGTGGGACTCACGAGATCTGATGGTTTTAAAAATCGGAGTTTTCCTACACAAGCCCTCTTTTCTTGTCTGTTGCTGTGTGAGATGTGCTTTTCACCTTCCTCCATGGTTGTGAGGTCTCCCCAGCCACATGGAACTGTAAGTCCATTTAACTGCTTTCTTTTGTAAATTGCCCAGTCTTGGGTATGTTGCCATCAGCAGTGTGAAAACAGACTAATACAGTAAATTGGTATCAGGAGTTGGATGCTGCTGAAAAGATACCTAAAGATGTAGAAGCAATTTTGGAACTGGGTAACAGGCAGAGGCTGGAATAGTTTGGAAGGCTCAGAAGAACACTGGAGAAGGTGGGAAAGTTTGGAACTCCCTAAAGACTTGTTGAGTGGTTTTGACCAAAATGCTGATAATGATATGGACAATGACATCCAGGTTGTCTCAGATGGAGATGAGGAACTTGTTGGGAACTGGAGCCAAGGTGACTCTTGTTATGTTTTAGAAAAGAGACTGGTGGCATTTTGCTCCTGCCCTAGAGATTTGTGGAACTTTGAACTTGAGAGAGATGATTTCGAGTATCTGGAGGAAGAAATGTCTAAGCAGCAAAGCATTCAAGAGGTGACTTGGGTGCTATTAAAGACATTCAGTTTTATAAGGGAAGCAGAGCATAAAAGTTCAGAAAATTTGCAGCCTGCCAATGCAATAGAAAAGAAAATCCCATTTTCTGAGGAGAAATTCAAGCTAGTTGCAGAAATTTGCATAAGTAACAAGGCGTCAAATGTTAATCATCAAGACAATGCAGAAAATGTCTCCAAGGCATGTCAGAGGGCTTCATAGCAACCCCAGAGGTTTAAGAGGATAACATGATTTCCTGGGCTAGGCCAAGGTCTCTCTGCTTTATGAAGTCTAGGGACTTGATGGCCTGCATCCCAGGTGCTCCAGCCATGACTAAAAGTGGCCAAGGTATGGTTTGGCTGTTGCTTCAGAGGGTGCAAGCCCCAAGTCTTGGCAGCCTCCACATGGTATTGAGCCTGCGGATGCCCAGAAGTCAAGAACTGAGGTTTGGGAACCTCCGCCTAGATTTCAGAAGATGTATGGAAATGTCTGGATGTCCAGGCAGAAGTTTGCTGCAGGGGTAGGGTCCTCATGGAGAATCTCTCCTAGGGCAGTGTGGAAGGGAAATGTGGGGTCAGAGCTCCCACACAGAGTCCCTACTGGGGCACCATCTAGTGGAGTTGTGAGAAGAGGGCCACCATCCTCCAGACCCTAGAATGGTAGATCCACCAACGACTTGCACCCTGCACCTGGAAAAGACTCAGACACTCAATGCCAGCCCATGAAAGCAGTTAGGAGGGAAGCTATACCCTGCAAAGCCACAGAGGCAGAGCTGCCCAAGACCATGGGAACTCACCTCTTACATCAGCATGATCTGGATGTGAGACATGGCATCAAAGGAGATCATTTTGGAGCTTTAAGATTTGACTGCCCCACTGGATTTTGGACCAGCATGGGACCTGTAGCCCCTTTGCATTGACCAATTTCTCCCATTTGGAATGGCTATATTTACCCAATGCCTGTACCCTATTTTATCTAGGAAGTAACTAACTTGCTTTTGATTTTACAGGCTCATAGGCAGAAAGGACTTGCCTTGTGTCTAACAAGACTTTGGATTGTGGACTTTAGACCTGATGCTGAAGAATTAAGACTTTGGGGGATTGCTGGGAAGGCATGTTTGGTTTTGAAATGTGAGACATGAGATTTGAGGGGGCCAGGGATGGAATGATAAGGGTTTGGCTGTGTCCCCACCCAAATCTTATCTTGATTTGTACCTCCTACAATTCCCACATGTTGTGGCAGGAACCTGGTGGGTGGTGATTGAATCATGGGGGCGAGTCTTTCCTGTGCTGTTCTCATGATAGTGAGTGGGTCTCACAAAATCTGATGGTTTTAAAAACGGGCGATTGCCTGCACAAGCTCTCTTCTCTTGTCTGCTGCTGTGTGAGACGTGCCTTTCACCTTCCTCCATGATTATGAGACCTCCCCAGTCACATAGAACTGTAAGTCCATTAAACATCTTTCTCTTGTAAATCTCCCAGTCATGAGTATGTCTTTATCAGCCGCATGAAAATGAACTAAATATAATACTATCATTGTAATTTTGCTTAAAAGAAAAATCCAACAAAACAAAAATAAAATTACATAGAACAAAATGATGACAGAGGTTATTTTCAGAAAAAAGGCTCATCAGTGCTTTTAATTTTATTTTATTTTTATGCATTTTACTATTTTTTACAATGTAAGACTATATTTTTAAACATTCAGCACATAATAATAGCATTTTTATAATTTCAAGTCCTTTTTGGAAATAATGGAAAACGTATAAACAATCATTTATTCTTACCTGGGTATGCTCAAATATAGTTGAAAGAAAATGGACACTTGACTTTATATAGCTTCTATCATACAGTTGCCATCAGAATTCTTCTATCACTTTCTCTCCTATGTATATCAGATGGAATCATAAATAACTAAAAAGAAAAATATAATTGGACTTAGAATTAATTAATAATTACATTTCTGTTTATTTTAAATTTAGAAGTTCAGCATATCTTTTAAAATTCTAATTATGTTTCTTGAAAATGTTCAAGAAAATTACCAAATAATAGGAAAATAATGATAAAATATGTAAATATTTGGAAAAGATTGTTACTGATACCTAGGTAATGAAAAATAGCAAGATTTGTAGATGATGTATTAAATGTTTTAACTCACAGATATGTTACTATTAAAGCTTGGTGATAGTTCTTTAATAATATATGCCTTTCCCCCTTGAACAACAAGGAGCCCCAGCTATCTCTTTCACATACTATTTATTTGGACTAACCAATCTCATACCCTGTTCATGATGATTAAGAAGGTGAAACTGAATTTTAGAAGGCACTGATTTATTTTCGTTTTCATTCTACTTTGACTGTTATGGCAAGGCATTCAGATAGCTTATCCTTCTATTCATAATCATGCTATAACTAGAAGAGACATGTTAATTAGTTAAGACTTTTATATTTTTATTCCAACAAACAAAACAAAAATTCTTTCTGGGTAGACACAACAGCACAAACTATGTCTTCCTTTAATTATATGATTTCGAATGTACCTCTGACATAAGTTCAAATAGTACCAGAAGAATTCACAGCATAGTATCTTTTGCCAAAACACTAAAAAGACCTGACCTTTTTGAAGGAGGGGGAAAAATGGAGAAACATATCTAAGTCGTGTGCCCTGCTTCTCATCATAACTTTGATACAAACCCCTTGATACAGACATTGATGATGCCATATGTGTACTTTTTACTCTCTGAAATAGACAGATCTCACATATTATTTTATCCCTTCTTCTTTGTTTCAATCTAAGCCATCTGAATACTTTGAAAGCCATCTTTTTCCATCTTTGCCACATATTCATCAGAAGCCTATTGACCTATTTGTTCACTCTATTTGTTTTCTTCTGCCTCAGCCTCCTGAGTAGCTGGGACTACAACTGTATGGCATCACGCCCGGCTAATTTTTGTATTTTTAGTAGAGAGGGGGTTTTGCCATGTTGGTCAGTCTGGTCTCGAACTCCTGACCTCAGGTGATCTGCCCGCCTTGGCCTCCCAAAGTGCTGGGTGGATTACAGGTGTGAGCCACCACACCCAGCTTCTTTTTCATTTTCTAACATGACTTTAGAGAGAGAGAAAGAATCTCAGTTTAGGTTGCCCTGGAGGCAAACACTGAGGTAATAATAACTTCAATGTGAGAAGTTTATTTGGGAGATAATCCCAGGAAATATTAGCAGGGATGAAAAGAAAGAAGTGAGACCCGGAATGGAAGACCTCTTACCAACACAGAGATCATTATCAGACCTGTAACACTATTGGCAACTGCAGCTTAATCTGGCTGGGGAAAATCAGACATCCAGTGTGTAATACACCCCTCAGCTATATCTCACTGTAAGAATGAGAGCTAGCATATTTATATATCAATTCTCATTAGTTATTAGCTGAGGGTTGCTCCCAGGGGCATTGATTCCCTAGAACTTTCAGTCTGTTTGGTTAACAAAGTGGTCTCTTGTGGCCAAAGAATCCCTTAGGTAAAGAAATGCAGGATAAACATTAGAAATTTTGCCAGTTTGAACTATAGCACTAAAAGAGAGGTTATAGGCTGATCATCAACAGCATCTACAACAAAAAGCAACAATTTTAAATTTTGAATTAAAATATTAGCACAGTATATTTTAAGGTCATATATTGATATTTTATAATTTTAGTGAAAAACAATGTTTGCTTAACTCAGTAAGACCATTATTTATTAAATCATATGTTATTTTCTTAGCACTGACTGGATCTTAGCATGTATTAATTACACAATTCACTTCACCTTCCTGTAAAATGTAAAGGTTGTATCATCACATACTTCCAGCTCTAAAACTAGATGTGTTTGTCCTGGACAGGAAATTTCAAGCATGACACATAGCTAAAAGGTAAACTATAAAACCATGTCATGATTTCCACAGTCGTTTATCAGATCATGTTTTTCTTGTTTGTTGGTCTTAGATGAGAGGAGAGAAAAGGAAGAACAAAATTATTTATCTTTTTGGATGACATAGTTTTTCCATTTTTATTTTGACAACTATTGATCTTATGAACAGAAATTAGAGAGAAATAATTTGAGATAAATAACTGTTATCAAAACTCTTCAATACATTTCATTCCCAAATTTTATAGAAGAAAATATTTTTCTTAAAATAGTCAATTCAATTTAATCAAGATAAATAATTGTTAATAAAACTCTTCAGTAGATTTAATTCCAAAATTTAATAAAAGAAAATCTTTTCCTTGAAATGGTCAATTCAATTTAACATCCCCATAGCCTTTATTTTTATCTTAAATTCACTGAAACCCAGTCATACTGAGGAAATACTTTTCAAACTAGAATATTTTATGCAATGTGGCAGAATAAAGAAGAGCACAAAAATACACACATCAAAAAATAAGAACTAACTTATGCCTACTTCTGTCTTTCTTCTTGCAGGAAATGACATATTTTCCAAATGGGATCTATTATTCTATGTCTGATATGATTAGATTTTTCATAGAAAGAGCACTTTGAATATTCTTGCAAAACTCAGATTGGCTTAGGGGCTGCTCTTTTGAACATATTTTACTTTAAAATATAAAATCCTGATTTCCAATTCAAATGCTTCTTAAAATTTTAGTATGAACATAATATGCTCAATTTGATCCTGTTTTGCCACCATTTATTACACATTTTCACACAATTTGAAGATGTATATGAAATTAAATGAAACCAACTATTTCTTTACTAAAACTTCCTTTATCCCCAACAGTACCATTTAAGAAAAACATTATTAATGCTGCAATATGATAAAATGTTTCACTTTGTTAATGTAATAGGTAAATCTTTAAATATTCTATATGTAATAAACCAAGCAAAACAAACAAGTCAGGCCAAATTGTATTTCTACTTGTCATCATATGAAATAACGGACCACCATTATCATGATCTTAAAATATTTTCAAAATCATTATTCTCTTTTTTACCTAGGCCCAGGAATTTAACAGTATTTAATCTAATTTGCAAAATGTTTTAGGAGTTTTCCTGGATATTTATTTCTTATCCTCTATAGGCTCCTAAATTCAAAATATATAAAATCAGATCTTGGCCCTGATTTTCTTTTCTGTATTTTTCTTTTTTGTCTTGTGACATTAAGTAAGTAGTACAATCCCCACTGATTGCTCACACCTGAAATCTGGCATTATTAATCCTTCTTTTTTCCCTTACCACCTACATGCAGTTAAATAAATTCAATTCTACTTAACACAACAATCTCCAGTTTGTTTTCTCTCCCAGTTTACACTCCCCACCTATCCATCCCTAGCCAGTCGTAATTTCTCTAACAAGTAATTTGGCCACATCACCAATGGACAAAGGACATATGCCTTAGTATGCCTTTAAGACACCTTCTCAAATGTTTTCACTCCAATGTTCTAAGCAAAAGGTACAAAGAAAGTGATATTAGGATGATTGTCCTAAGTAGCCCGGAGCAATCACTTCCTATGTATTCTAGTCATCTCACTAAGGAAATGACATACGAATAGTCATACCTATACCCCTACACTCTTAAGGAAAATAACATTAGAAAAGTAATTTTGTTCATTAACACAATATTCACTGAACAGCTATTGAATGCCCAGTTGTTTAGTTACTAGTGAGAGGAAAATAAGTCTGTATACTCCTTTGCATGCATCAGTGTGATAAGGACTATGTTCCTGGCAAGGCTAGGTGCTGCAGAAAAGTCTTCCTAAAAGAGGTAAGACTCATTAACCTTCAGTTCACAGAAGCTGTCCAGTGAGGAAGGTGGGGAAAGTCACAGTTGGCAAAGGAAACATCATAAGCAAAGGCACAGGAATAAGAAAGAACACGCCATCTTCAAGGATAGGCTATTAGAATATTTTATTTTAAAATAGAATATTTGTAGGAAACTCTTTTGTATAAAACTTTAGGAATAAGATAAGGCCACATCAGGAAGGCTCCTGATTGCCATGTTATAACATTTGTATTTTACCTTTAAGGTAATGGAAGTATGATTAAATAGGGAAGCAGTACAGTAAGATATGTGTTTTAGATAGGTATTTAGGATGATCATATTGCCAAGGCGGCTCTGAAGAGACATGAAAGGAAGGGGATGAGACAAGCAAATTACTTCTTAGAAATTTGTGTATATTTGTTAGATGCTAATGCAAAATAGACTCAAGGCATTCATATTTATAAGATGTAAAACTGGAACGATCTTTATAATTTAATTTATATAGGAATAGAACCAGACAAAGATAGCTTTGATCCTGGGTTTTTCTATTCCCAGAAATCAGATAGGACCAAAAATTCGTATCACCCGTTATTCTTCCAAATGTATTCTGAGTTCCATACCCTCAGCTTTCAGTATGGTAATGAAAAAAGTGATAGTGGATGCGACATGAAAAACTCTTCAGAACACATAAGAATTTTAAATTTATCAATTTAAAATCAAATTCAATCCATGCTTTCCATTGCATTTGCTGTGAAACTTTCAGCAGTGCTTTGAAGCTCTCAATGGCAGGAAATTTTTCTAATTAAAAAAAGTAGAACAATTATCAAGTCGTTCACTCTTTTTGCTGAAATTATTGGAAAACAGAAGTCACTTTCCCTGAAACGTTTGGTTATTAAATTTTTCAGTATATATAGTGTGAATATGTCTATGAACAAAACACTTAGAAAATTAGAAAATTATAAGGAAAACAAAAATCATCTATATTAAGATAAACTAAAATATAACATTTAGACACCTTCCACCCAGTCTTTTTCTAAAACTGAAATTGTACTACACATATGCAAAGTTCAGCTATTTCACCCTCCAAACGTCATGTTGAAATGTGATCTCCAATGTCAAACATGGGACCTAGTGAGAGGTATTTGAGTCATGGGGGCAGACT